ATTCCACAGGTAGTCCTTGACTTACAACCACTATCACCAGCCAGAAGTTCCCATGTTAAGCGTGGTGGTGGTGAAGTCAGTTGTGCCCGAATTTAAGTACCTTTCTTTGCTATGGTTCTTAGGTAAATTACCACAGCTATTAAGTGAATCACGTTGTTAAGCAAATCCACTTTCCCTTATCAATTTTGCTGGTCAGAAGCCGGCTTGGAAGATGGCAAATGATGATTACATCATCATTTCGGGAGGCTGCAACCATCATAAATGCGTGCCAAATAGGATCACAGCGATGGCTGTAAGTGTGAGGACCAATCCTAAGTCACGTTTTTCAGGGCTGTGGTAACTTCGAACAGTTGATCAATGGATAGCTGTAAGTCAAGGACTAACTGTAATAGGCTAACCAAGGGGAAGCGTGGAAAATGTTATTCCAGTTTACTTAAGTACAGTCGATTCAGGCTGAGAATTATTGGGATTGAAGCCTGACATGCCAGCTTTGGAGATATATCTCAGACTACAGTTCCAATGACTCCCAGCCAGTAGAGTCCTTGGCCTTGTGGGCTGCAATGAAGGGAACTGTAGTCCAGTAATCCAGAAGGCTGTGATCATGAGTAGGCCTGAATAGAGAACAACCAATAATTTGGCACCATTGAGCTAATTCCCAGAATTCCTTGGGTGGAGTTGGAACTCCATTCATTAGTGTTCCTCCCCCTGGTGGCTTCCCTTGGGATGGCAGCTCTTAGAAGGCCCACAACTCCCTTTGGACAGGGGAATTCTGGGAGTTGGGTTCTGTAATGGTATGTGAGAAAGACCTTGAGACACAAGGGAGGGGGAAGAAATGCTGCTTAGGGAACAGTTAGGTAAGAGGTGGCTTAGCCCTGAGTTCCCCAACCTTTCTGCTTTTGGGGAAGGCACAAGCGAAGGGCGCGCATGTACGTCCTTGCCTGCTGCTTGCACAAGTGGGGATGTGTGCGCTCGCCCGCCACTTCCACGGCCTGGTTCTGAACGGCTCAAGGCCCATTTGTGGACTCAATCCTGGGGGTTGGGGGACGCGTGGCTTAGCCCTCAGCTGCATAATGGCTGGAGAAAGAGACTCAGAAGGGACACTCCCCAGTTTCTAAGGATGTAAAACAGTGGTGGGATTCCAATTTTTTTCCCCACCGGTTCTATGAGAGAGCGCTTTCCACGCACACTCAAGAACCGCCCTCTGTGTCTGCACTAGTGGGGTGAGCTGTTTTTTTTTACCTCAGCTGAGGCGCGGCAATCCACTCTGCCACATGAATCAGCTGAGGTAAAAAACAAGAGAATATAGGACAGGATAGGGTAGGGGCAGGGCCACCCAAAGGTGGTATTTGCCGGTTATCCGAACTACTCACTACCGGTATGCCATTTTTACCTCAGCTGAGGCGTGGCAATCCACTCTGCTACATGAATCAGCTGAGGTAAAAAACAAGAGAATATAGGACAGGATAGGGTAGGGGGAGGGCCAGCCAAAGGTGGTATTTGCCAGTTATCCGAACTATCCACTACCGGTATGCCAGTACCGGTCCGAACCGGCTGAATACCACCTCTGATGTAAAGGTGACAGTGGGAGATTTGTACTTTTGGACCTGCAAGATTCTGTTAATGTAGCCTTACAGTAAAATAAAATCAGTTCATCTGCCTTGTGTTTGCTGCCTAAGTGTCAGCTTTGGAAGCCATATTAGCACCAGAGGCTTCCGCGCTGCCACATTCTTGAGCCTGGGAAAATAATGGGAGGGGGGAATTTCTCGGAGCATATGTGGTTAGACATAATAGCATTCTTCTTCTCAGTCAAGGTCGTGTTATTTCTGCACCTGGGTGAGAGGACGTCCCAAGTTGGGACGAATGGTGATTGGGGTATGTGATGCCATGAGGAGTGCAGGGGGTGGATTTGTAATATTTTACTTATTGAAGGGAAACCTGGAACTTTCAGATTTGGGATTTCCCAGATGTGCCAGTTGACTACTACTCTAATAAAAGGAACCCTTGAGAAAATGTCTGTCTCGGAGTTGTTGGTTGGAGTGGGGAGGTTTTCTGGAACGTTGACACTAAGAATGACACCCGTCTTGCAATTCTGACAGTACAAATTTCCCAGCGTCTCCTTTACAGCCTGAGAAACTAGAGGGAGTAGTTTCTCCTGATCCTATTCCTCAGTGCTTCCGTACCAGAGACAAATTCGTTGCATGCCTAGTCACACTTGGCCCAATAAGGTACAGGCAGTCCTCGGCTTACGGCCACAATGGAGCCCCAAATCTCTGTTGCTAAATGGACATTTGTTAAGGGAATTTCGCCCCAATTTTACGACCTTTCTCACTGTGTTTGTTCAGTGAATCCCTGAGGTTGTTATCTTAGGGACACCGTTGTTAAGGGAATCTGGCTTCGCTGTTGAGTTTGGTCATTGGGGGGTCACAAATGGGCATCATCACCTCACCCCGGGATGCGGCAACTGTCATCAATAGGAACCGATTGCCAAGCACCTGAATTTTAATCACCTGAACGTAGGGATGCTGTAACAGTCGTATGAAAAAAGGTCATCAGTCACTTCTTTCGGGGCCGTTTTAACTTCAAAATGGTGGTTAAATGAACGAGGATCGCCTGTATTCAATTCAATTCAATTCCCTGCAACTGTTATGTATCTGAGGGCTAAGTCGCCGCTTATCTAATCATTCCCTAGGCCAGGGGTCGCCAACCTTTTTTGGACCTCAGGGACCACCAAACTCATCATTTAAAATCCTGCGGACCAGAGACCCCCTGGGAAAATTCCCTAAAAAAATGACTGCAGGAAAATCACCCACCCCATTTTCCTACCGATCGATTGTTTGGGATCGCAGGATACTGTCTCCAGCTCCGTTCTCAGGGAGAGAGAGGGAGAGAGAGAGAGACTTTTGGCTTCATGCAAGGAAAGCAGCAGAAGCCGCGGAAGTCTTTCTTTCTCTCCCCCAAACTCCGCCAGAAATGAATCTATGCCGGTACAACCACTTGGAGCAGGAGGCCTTGCAGGGTCCCAAAGACTCATTTCTGGCAGAGTTTGGGGGAGAGAAAGAAAGACTTTGGCTGCTTTCCTTGCGTGCAGCCAGAAGCAGAAGAAGAAAGAAGCGGAAAGAAGCAGCCCGGTGGCCAGGCCAGGCGTGTGGGGTGAGAGGGGCAAGTTCCCCCCCTCCGCCCTTTCCCCCCTCCCCTCACTACCTCATGTTGTTCGCAATGCAAGCGACGCAAGCCTTGTGTTCCCGTGGGCCATGTGGGCGGCGCAGCTTTGTGTTCCCGTACAGCCTGGATTAATTGCTTTGGGGGGGGGGGTGGAGAACATTTCTCTGCGGACCACCAACATTTTCTCATGGACCACCAGTGGTCCACGGCCCACTGGTTGGCGACCACTGCCCTAGACAGTGTCTCTTCTTCCATCTCCCAAGCCATTCCCCCATACCATTCCCCCACCCCATCTGGTGCCTGCCCGTTGGAAGGCTAATACTAATCACCCCTCCTGCAATCACAGCCTTAACAACCCCATCCCACCCCACCCCACTTTTTAATACTCACTAAAGCTTGGGTTTCATGGCACAGTTTCAATCCAGGGGCCCCTAGAATCAGATCGGCTCCTTGAGGAAGCCCTCTCATTCATTTGGAGGCAGATAAACAGACTTAGGAAAGGAGGCAAGGAAGGGTGTTTCCCGCCCCTCCCTCCTGTCCACATCCTGTGAATAAGGACACCCAATGGCACTACAGACCAGGGGTGAGATTCAAAAATTCTAGCAACCTGTTCACTGCCTGCTTGCTGGGTGGGCGTGGCCTATCAGCACTTCCTGGAGTCCTGTTTTTTTTGCCTCCCCCAGAGTCCGTAGGCTTCTCTCGGGCCTCCGGGAGGGAGAAAATGGCTTCTCCCAGGCTCCGGAGGGCCTCTAGAAGCCGGAAACAGGTCCGTTTCTGGACTTCCGGTAGGAACTTCCGGTTCGACCCATTTTTCTCCCTCCCAGAGCTTCCGTGCAAAACCCTGCACTTACCTGCATGACAAACAGGTTGCGTGGAGACTCCCGGGAGGGGAGGGGCAGGGTGGGCGGGGCCAGCTGTTCGGTTCAATTTAACATCCGGTTTGCTCGAATCGGTCTGAACCGGTCGAATCCCACCCCTGCTACAAACCCTTCCCCAAATCCAGAATCTGCCCTCCCAGACAGACGGCGTCTGATGGAAACGCCGTCTTGGGAAATCTTTCTGTACAATTTGGGGACGAGTCGAAAACGGGGTGAAGGGTGCTACTTCTCTACACCAGCTCTGTGAAAACTTGCCAGCCCCCTCCCCCGATCTCGTTCCAGCAAAAGCAAAGCACCCACCGATACCCAGTCCTGGGGTTGAATCCCACCCCTCCGTTGCCAGAAAGTAGCCCGCAACCTAAAATCCATCCCTCCTCCTCCTTTACAAACGTCTTCCCACCCCGTTCCAGGACTCCCTTGGGCTGTTCGGTTCCCATCACCTCCCCCCCCATGTCCCCCCACTCCCCACGGAGATGGCCCCCTCTGCTCGTGTCACCCACCCACTCCCAGCCAACCACTTCGTGGGCACCGTAGATAAGAGAAGCCCTTGGTGGCCTTGGCTCAAAGTCACAGTGAGGTATTTTGAGAGAGGCTTGGCTGGGAAATAGGGTCCCTCCTGGAACGCAACTCGGGAGGAGGACAAACAGGGGACCTGCCCACAGGGACGGGGCAAGGGGATTCACAACCCACCGAATGCATAGCCCAGATGGTGAGCTGAGAGAACAGCAAATAGCACCAGTTGACCACCATTATACGAGAGGGCCACGAACAGTCCATATCATGAGAAGGAGGAATTAAACTGAATTATCGCGATGTGAGAATGGGACATCCTGATGCTTCCTGGACTGCCACTCCCACCGTCCCACCCAAAAAGGACCGGGACAGTCCCAAAGCCTGCTCACTCGGGCTGTTTGGACCCGGTTCAGCCCACGAGGCCTGGTAGGGTCCCTCCTGGCCTGCTTACACAGTGGTCTCATATTCCAATAGCTCCTGCGACGCCCCCATGCTGCGATACTGTAGGCGTGGCGTGGCCGGAGAGGTGTACTCAAGAGCTAGAATGGTCTTACGGAGACGCCTGTCAATGAAATGGGCGTCCCAGGCGGGGTACTTCTTCCGTGGCAAATCAATGCGAATAACAGGCCCCTCTGTCCGTGGGGCCCGGGCTATGGGGGTGGAAGGCATGCTGGGCCTGACCTGAAAGACTGGCCCGCAGCTGTCTCTGTCCCCTGGTATCCCCTCTCGTTCTGTAGTCCTTGGCAAGGAGCGTGGCGGACTGGTGATCACATCTGGTGGAGGCCCCATAGCCCGGGGTATGGCAGTGGACTCTTCCCCACAGAGGCAGCCAGTGTTCTGGGCCCCGAAAATGGTTCCACTGGGATGCAAGAGGCAGTAGTAGATGAACATGAAGAAGACTCCCAAAGCGAAGCTGGAGGCCACCACGCAGACGATGATCAAGGCGTAGAATTCGGAGATCAGGTACTGTTCGCGGAACCAGTACCAGAGGCCCGTCAGCGCGGCGTTCTCCAGCAGGGTTATGATGTAGTAGATGGACATGCGGCACCGGCTGCGGCCTTCTTTGACGTTGAACCAGCAGAAGATGTAGATGATGCCCACCACCATGTTGTAGATGATCTCCTCCCACTTGGACATGCAGAAATCCGTCTCGCCTTGGATGATCCAGAAGGTCATGATGCACCAGTGGGTGACAATGAAGATGCCGAAGTAGAGCTGAAAAACGGAGGCAAAGAGGGCGAAGGCGATGGCTCGGGCGGCAATGGTGAAGAGGTGCCACAGGATCTGGACCATGGCTCCTTTGTAGGACATGGGCATCTTGTCTTCCCGGGAATCCCGGAGCACCTTTTGGTAAGAGGCCAAGGTCCACGCCAGAGACACCAGCGAGGCGGAAGCGGAGAAACCTTCCCGAAAGGAACGGAGAGACAAAGGGGAACAACGAATTAGGGAGAAAACAAGGCAGGGGTGAACTTCAATTTTTTTTAGCAATGGGTTCTCTGCCTGGTTGCTGGGTGGGCGTGGCCACGATGGGCATGGTCTAGTCAGCCTCCTGCACCACGGCGGGGGGGGGGTTTGCCCTCCCCGGGTTCTGGAGGTTCTCCAGCAGCCAGAAACGGGCCCGTTTCCAGCCTTCTGGAACTTCCGGGAGTCCCATTTTTAGCTCTTCCTGGGCTTCTGTGCAGGCCCTACACTTATCTGGCATCCAAAACAGGCGGTGGGTGAGACTCCTGGGAGGGGAGGGGAGCGGCGAAAGGGGCTAGCCAGGCGTGGGATTTGCAGGTTCTCCAAACGGCATCGAACCTTAGCTAGACGGTCTTCTCGAACCCACGCAAACCCCCTAGCAGCCCACCCCTGAGACAAGGTGTCCTTGAAGGTTCTCTAGGGAAGAAATGGAGCTGGAGGAGAGACCCCAGGGATGGGGTGACAGCGTTGAGCAGGGGGTGTCAAACGGGCCGGATGCTTCCCATGCTAGCCTCTCTCCACCCCCCGGTTTACCCCGCGGTGCATCATGTGACGACGTGACGACGCGAATTTGACACCGCTAGCCTAGAGCCTGGATGGGAGGGAGGGGGGTAAGAGGATTGATCTGAAGGAAAACCAAGAGGAGAGAAGGAAAAAAAACCCATGGAGGTATATCACCAAGGAAGACAAGGAGACTGGAAGGTCAACCACCCAACCGCTACGTTGGTGTTCGTATATATATATGGGAAAGGACTCCGGAGAAGTCAAACCAACATGACACAAGTGGTGATGGGGAAAAAAAAATGGGGTGTGGTTTGTGGAGTGGAGGAGCAGGGAAGGAGGAGGAGGAGGGCTGGGGGGGTCCTTGGTGCTCTCTGAGCTTGATTGTTTTCCTGGAGGCGTTTCACGACCCAACTAAGTAACATCATCAGGGCTAGCATGAAACTTCTGCAAGGAAACAATCAAACTCAGAGACCAGCAAGGACTCCACAATTTTCTTCCTCCTCTGAAAACCCCCTTTCCTTCTAGCACTGATGAAATTACCTAGTTGGGTCATGAAAGGTCTGCTAGAAAACCACGAAGCTCAGAGAGCACCAAGGACCTCAACTCCTCCTCCTCCTCCTCCTCCTCCTCCTCCTCCTCCTCCTCCTCCTCCGCCTCCTCCTTTCCACAAACCCAACTCCTTTCTAGCACTGATGATGTTCCCTAGTTGGGTTATGGGATGTCTGCAAGAAATCAACCAAACTCATAGAGTACTAGGAACCCCACACTCCTCCTCTTCTCCGCAAACCCCACTTCCTTCTAACACTGATGATGTTATTTAGTTGGGTCATGAAAGATCTGCAAGAAAAGCACCAAGATCAGAGCACCAAGGATTTCACAATTCTTCTTCTTCTTCTTCCTCCTCCTCCTCCTCCTCCTCCTCCTCCTCCTCCTCCTCCTCCTCTCCACAAACCCCACCCCATATTACCTAGTCGGGTCATGAAATGTCTGCGAGAAAACAACCAAACTCAGAGAGTACCAAGGTTGGCCCCAATTCCCAATGTCTACTCTAGGGCAGCAGGGATCTCCCAACTTGGCAACTATTGAAGTCCACCAATCTCAAAGTTGCCAAGTTTGGAGACCTCTGCTCTAGGGGCTTGCTCTCCCCTTCTCCAGGTGTCTCCTACTCAGTGGTGGCACACTACCGGTTTGGACCGGTTCGGCTGAACTGGTAGTAAAAAAAAATTAAAAGCCTCCGACGAACAGACGATCAACTGAGAGTAGAAAGAAGAGAAAAGCTCAGGATTGGCCCTCCCAACACTCCCTACACTTTTCTCTTCCTTATCCTCTCGGCTGATTGGCGCTGCAGGCTCAGCTGGTGTGGGGAAAGTGGCGCGTGCGTGTTAGGTGTGTGTAGTAGAACAGGTAGGATCCTCCTTCTTTGACCCAACGAGCTTCTAACATTCCATTCCCGAAGGGACATCGAAAATGGCACACATGTTCCACCCAAACTATCTCTCTCCTCCTTTCTTCTTTTGTTCCTTCTTTTGTTTGTTCCTCTTTTCTCTCCCTCCTTCTTCCTTCCTTCTCCCTCTTCTCCTTCCTTTCTTTATCCTCCCTCCCCTTTCCTTTCTTCCTCCTCTTCCTTCCTCCTTTATCCTCCCTCCCTCTCTCCTCCTTCCTTCCTCTATCTTCTCTATCTTCTCCTTCCTTCCTTTCCATCCTTCCTTTTTACTCTCCTCTCCTTCTTCCTTCCTTCCTTCTTTCCCTCCCCTCCTTCCTTTCTTTTTCCTCCCTCCATTCTCCTTCCGTCCTGCCTCCTACTTCCATCCCTCCTCTTTTCTTCCTCCCTCCTCGAACACTGAACCGGCAGGATCCCACGGCTGCTTCCTACCCCTCCCCTCCCACCGGGGCCCACCTCCGCTTACCTTGCAGGGGGTCAATCCGCTTCTGTTGCACCATGATGCTCAGCTGCAGCACCAGTTGCGGGGCGCTCTTGAGGAAGGTCTCCAGAAGGCGCAACATGCTGACGTCGGCACATTCGAACATCATCCTCCAGTAAAAATGGCGCTGGCGATGCTCGGACTGCCAGCGGCTCTGGAGACCCAGGTAGAGGCTCCTCAGGTACCTGTGGGGAAGGACAGGGAGAGAGGAAGGCGTGCACAGGTTTGTCCTCGACTTACGACCCCTAAGGGAGCCCCACATCTACGTTGCTAAGTGAGACAGCGGTTTCATGAGTTTTGCTCCAGCTTACAACCTTCCTCGCCACGGTTGTTAAACGACACGCTGCAATTAAAGTTAGTCACACGGTTGTTAAGTGAATCTGTCTCCTTGGGTCGTCAGAAGGGACACAGTGACCATCATAAACACAGGTAGTCCTCGACTTACATCTGTTTGTTTAGTGACCAAAGTTACAGTGACACTGGAAAAAGGGACTTATGACTGTTTTTCACACTTATGACCATTGCAATCATGGGATCAAAATTTTGGCCTCAACCTATGACCACAAGGGAGCCCAAAAAGTTCTATTGCTAAGCGAGACAGTTGCTCTGTGAATTTTGTCCCATTTTACAACCTTTCTTGCCACCATTGTTAAGTGAATCCCTATGTCAGGATTCCAACAATCGCCCTAATGAAATCATGATTCTCGAGCCAAACTTCAAAAAACTTCAAAGGATCCATTAGAGGCGACATCCTGGCCCTGCCCTGGATGAAGCCAACTCTGTCCTATGTCATTTCCAGTCCCCTGTGACCCTGTTTCCCCCCCTCCCCCCTGGGTGTGTCATAAACCAGATTCTCCCATTGAGCTCTCCTATGGGCTGGGTGTCATCAATCATGTTCTCCAATTCAATATATTCACGGGCAAAAGCTCTGGCATTTTAGTTACACTCTTTTAAAGATAAGAGTTGGAACGTACTTCCACTTCCCAACTGCTGCTCTGCTCTTGCAGATTTCCTTCCTCACCCCCCCTTTTTTAAATGGCAACTACTAAAACAGGCCTGGGAATGTTTTATGAGTTGACATTCGGCTCCTCTCACTTCTTGACCTTTATAAAGCAAAACTGAGATAAGCTTGGAATGTTCATTTGCCGTCTGCTCCTTCAAGGTTCTCCCACCCACCCCAGCCCTTCGTATGGCCATTTGGAAACGGTCATAGGAATGTTTTACAAGCTGACCCTAGGCCGGAAGCGCCATTGATCAAACTGGTGAGAATAGAAGAGGACTCTGATCCAGCTCCATGAGACTAGAGACCGCCAACCTGCGCTCTGGAACCCTCCTAGTGCCCAAAGCAGAACGTACTCCAGAAGACCTTCTGCTCTCCAAGCTCAGAGGAGAAGATGAAGAAGACACCTGCAGGGCAGGTCAAAAAAAAAATCAAGCCAGCAGCCATGATGTATCATCAAAGCTCTGCCTGGTTTTGAGTGTCAGGATTCCAGCGATCGCCCTAATGAAATCATGATTCTCAAGCCAAACTTCAAAAAGCTTCAAAGGATTTATTAGAGGTGACATCCTGGTCCTGCCCTGCATGAAGCCAACTCTGGCCTACATAATTTACACTCCCCTGGGACCCTGTTTCCCCCCCGGGGGTCTCCTAAACCAGATTCTCCAATTGAGCACCTTCAGGGGCTGGGTGTCATCAATCACGTTCTCCAATTAAATATATTCCTGGGCAAAAGCTCTGGTAGTTTAGTTACAGTCTTTTAAAGATAAAGAGTTGGAATGTACTTTCGCTTCCAAACTGCTGCACGGCTCTTCTAGATTGCCTTCCTCCCCCCCCCCCCTTTTTTTTAATGGCAACTATTAAAACAGGCATAGGAATGTTTTATGAGTTGTCACCCTGCGGTCAACAAGTTAATAACACGGTTGTTAAGTGAATCTGGCTTCTCCATGGACTTGGCTTGTCAGAAGGTGGCCAAAGGTGAAAACCCGGGACATATCGCAACCGTCATAAACGCGAGTCTGTCTGCCAAGCGTGGGAATTTTGATCACCTGACTTGTAATTCTGATTCACAGGTGGCCGTCAGTGTGAAAAACGGTCATAAGTCACTTTTTTTCAATACCGTCGCAAGTCGGTCGCTAAATGAGCTGTTGTAAGTCGAGAAGCCCCTGGATACGCCCGGCAAAAATAAAATAAAAATAAAATCAAGCAGAATCTGTCTCCGTACCAGAATTTCACCTCCATAAAACGATCAAAGGACAAAGAAAATGGCCTGTAAGGTCATTCCCCATTTTCTTTAGGGTGTGAAAGAGGAAAGAAAATGGGGCAGAAATAGGGTATTTTATAATAAAAATAATAATAACAAACTGTGCATCATTTTCAAAAACAAACAAACCAGGATTTTAATGAAATCTAGATCATTCGCAACTGGGGGGTGTGGGGGGGGGGGAGAATATTTATGCAGCTGTGTCTTTTTGAAATACTCAAAGCTCCTTGGGATTCAGATATTAAACCACTCGACATTTTGGCAATCAAGCTTAATTCACGGAGTGGAGAAAATAGTCGCGGTTAAATCTGGAAGCCGTAAAGGCAGGATCTGCATTTTTTTTTGGGGGGGGGGGGGGGTTGGGCCGTTTATATTCTCCCAGAATTGGCGCGCTGGGGAGAGGTCCTTGGCCAAGGTTGTTAACTCAGTTCAGCTGCATTCTCAGCTGTTTCCTTCTTTTCTGGAGAGTGCAGAAATCAAAACCTTTTGCCGTCCTTCCCCTCTTTGGCATTTTAGGTGCGCAGCCGTATCTGCACTCCATCCCCCCCCACTTTAAAAAAATAATAATCACCCCCCTAGCTTCTATTTCAGGCCGAGGGGTCTCCGTTCATTGAAAAAAAAAATCACATTCGCGGTTTCTCGTTCCGTCTCCTGAATCGCGAAAGCAAGGCTGGTAAGTTAAGAAAGGTGGGTTATTCAGCCGTTTTTATTTATTCATTTGTTATCCTGCCTTTATCATCTCTGCAAAGAACTCAAGGAGGGGATGAACACACATCCAACACACCTTCCTCCTCCTGTGTTGCTCACAATGACGACAACACTACGAGGTTGGTTGGGGTGAAAGAGAGAGAGAGAAATTGGCCCAAAGTCACTTGGTTAGCTTTCGTGCTTAAGGTGGAACTAGAATTCATTGTCTCCTGGTGATGGGCCCAAAGTCACCCAGTTGGCTTTCATGGTTAA